GCCCGGATTCATGGTGCTCGCACCCGGGTCCACTGAGGCTGGGCCCGAAGCCTCGATGCCTATGCTCAACACCCTGGCACCCAAGTCCATAAAGGCTATGCCGAAGTCCATGAAGGCCATGCCCGTGTCCATCGAGGCCGGGCACAGGACCCAATTGCCCGTGCCCTAATCCCTAGCGCCCTGTTTGGGGTCCATTGAGCCGGACCCAAGACTCTAGTGCCCGTACTTGGTTCCCTGGCTACTCATGTATAAGTTACTAGCGTCCGAATAGCATATGTCTATTTACGAAAATCTGTTACTAAGCTGATTAGAGAACCCGCAGAAAAATAACGAGAGAAAAGAAGGAAGAGAGAAGAAAAAGAGAGGAGAAGAAGAGAGAAAGAAAGAGATTGTAAAATCCAAGAAAGGGGCTCTTGGTTTCTGTGTGTAACAGAAACCCTACACCCATCACGATATATTTATATTAAATATGAATTGTATATGACCATAATGCCCTTATATATGTAAAAAGGAATAAAACCTAGAAAATAAAAATAATTCTACTCTAACAAAATCAAATCAAATTTTCCATACCAAACGACAGAATATTTTCTCTAGTTCATTTTAGGTTTGAGCTAAATATCGAAAATATTGTTATTTTTCTGGAAAATATTTTTCAGAAATATCACATTTTCCGTTAAATAAATTGAGGCTAAGAATTATAATAATACTCTTGCATATGGCCTCGTATATTAACACATGCTCCCAATGCACCGCGTGTCATCTAGATATCGTCCTACAATTATGGATAAATTGTTTTCATTGTGGGCGATAACATCGTTAAGGGTAGGCGAGGCGATTAGCACAACTACTCCATATTGGTGTTTCTATAAAGGCATTACATATGTTATGTGCAGAATATTTTGAGTCGTAGTTGCTTAGTCGGTCTATTGGAATCGAGAAACTTACCCAAAAAAATTTGAAGCCTATTATACGAATGTCAATTTAATTATAAATTTTCACATTTGACTAGTATATTCCTACACTAAATTGGCCAGAAATTGCTGATGTGATGGTTAAGTTATTGCCGGCCGCCCTACGTGCCACAATCGGCGATCTAACGTGATCATTTCGGCTCAAACAATGTCATTTTTCAGAATATTTTTTGAATTAATTATTCTTTTTTCTTTCTTTTTTCTTTCTTTTATTCTTTAACTGGGTAAACGCAGATCTGGATTTGGAATTTTTCTCCACAGAAGAGAGAGAGAGAGAGTGTGTGTTCTCGGACACCGTGTTGACGCAGAAGATGCAACCTGCCACCAAGCCACGGCTCACGGTGGTCCCCACCGCCGCCGCAGATGGCGGAAACTCCGCCGACGACAAGCGGGATCAGCTCGTCCTATCCTCCGCCACCTGCAAAAAGACTGAGGACCTCGGCCCCTTCATCCGCAAGGCCTTCTCCATCGGCAAGCCCAACAGCCTCCAAGATCGAGGAACGTCCACAAGGCCCACTACCAGGACTCCCATCCTCGCCGTCGGCGACCTACGACCACCCCATTTCCCACGTCGGTCCCCCTCGCGTCCGCCCTCTCCCGCTCCAACTCCGCCCCTCCAGTCCGTCGCTCTCCCTCTCCTCAACTCCCTCGATGCCTGCCTCGAGGCTGGCAACATCTCCGTCAACATCAACCTCACCGCCGGCTCCTGCGTCGGCCTCGTGGATCTCTCTGCTCCAGGGCCGATCTCCACCTTCTCCTATGGCAACTTCTACATGGCCTTGAAGTGCGTCGACGCCATCGAGGCTCAGTTCCTCGGCAGGACGCCGTCGTGCAGGATCAAAACCGTGGTCGAGAAGAAGATTCTTGAGAATTCGATCCTGCATGGAGAGGAAGGTGAGCAAGGAGTTCGGCGATGTGCTTGTGGAGATTCTTGAGATTCTCCATTGGCCGAGCTTCCCACTGCGAGACACAGAGAGAGAGAGAGAGAGAGAGAGAGAGGAAGAGCTCTTAGGATGAAGCAGAGACAAGCTGAAGAACAGGGTAGGCTTAAAAATCCCAAACCGAGATCTGGGTTTCAATGTTCATCAAAAAGTCGAAGAATTTTACGTGAGGGAAATGGCAAGAAGGGATCGAATTTGAGGGAAAAATTTCCTCCTGTTGATCAAACTTAGGGTTTATACATGATTCGGACGAGATCGGTTTGGGGCCTTCAGGGAACGACGAAAGAAGGGAAGTGACGTGGTTTAGGGTTTTGGTTTTGCTGATGTTTGTTTTAATGACGGCCGATGATCCACGTTAGCACCCGTCATGTAATGTAAGATGGTCAATGCTTATTAAATCTCTACACGTTAAAATTTTCCGACCTAAATTGGTCGGATTGACTATATCGGAAAAATCGTCAAAATCGCTCTGGGGCCTTCGAACGACCCAAGAAGGGAACTGACGTGGTTTAGGGTTTTGGTTTTGCTGTTGTTTATTTTAATGATGGTCGATGATCCACGTTAGCACCCGTCATGTAATGTAAGATGGTCAATGCTTATTAAATCTCCACACGTTAAATTGTCCCGACCTAAATTGGTCGGATTGACTATATTGAAAAAATCATCATAATATTATGGATTATATTGGCTTAATTAGAAAGTCTGTGATTGAATTGACAATCGTATAATAGGTTAATGACTTTTTAGGTAATTCTCCCACCGAAATCAAAAGATTCAGTGTTGTCAAGCCTCTTACTGCATGCACCGTCAGCGTGCCAAAAGTCGTGAAATTTCTCTACACGAGATAGCAGACGCTGCACAAGCTGACCAGAAATCCGTTCCCGAATTAATACCAAGTGGAAAAAGTCATCGAGAAAGTCTGAAAATCAATTGAGAACAAATTAACTTTGGATGCAATTCCCGTTGGAGCGTAGAATACGTAGAGGTCTACGACCATTATGTGACATGGGGCACGGCTATACACTTCCAAAAGTAGCCCAAATAGTTGCCAAACCGGCTATCTTTGCATTATTGGGGTAGAAGTAGGCAGACTAGTATTACTAGTTTACTGCTACTAATAGATTATTTGACCAGTTGGTGAAAACGATGATTTACCAAGGTGATTTTCCAGACGAAAGGAAATCGGACTCTTACTTACCAGTGGAAAGGTTACCCGTTACTTAGCCGGAAAAGAAATGTGACCGTGGGCTCCGTCTTTTTCGTCTTCTAGGATGGCGTGTGTTTAATCAAGTCACGGACTCGGGGTCTGATTGAACTACTCTTTGGAAATATTTGTTCCCTTTGAGCTTCGTTAGTTTCGCAGAAAATGAATTATTTGGAAACTTTTCTAAAAATGATCACTTGTGTTACTTGAAATAATTAGTCGATGAAAAATGTCTTACTATCGATAACAATTTACAATGAAAATATTTTTTGTTCATTCATTACTGTAAGCGATATAAGCGATCATTTTTACGGAAATGCATGCCAAGTTTTTCATTCTCCGTCAAACAAACGCACAATTTCATGTTAACCAAGTTGAACCCCCTCTTAATGACTCGGAGTTATGATTCATGATCTCTCTCTCTCGTTCCTAAGCCAACTTGCGTTCTTTAAGAACCCCACCGAACAAGAAAACTTTGAGCCTTTGTCTCGATCATGTCAAGAAACTTCAACGTCTGCGGACCTACTTTCACGGGCGATGTTTAAGATGCCCCGGAAGGATCATGTTCTCTTGTCAACCTAATTTTCCACTAACCCTATCTTGTACTATATCATTTTCCACCCATAAAAATAAAAAAAAAAGGCTCTCTAAGTTCCTTACTTCGTGATCGATCGAGCATATTAGGAGTGGCAACGGGCCGAGGCAGGGCGGATGTGGGAGTTGCATCCCCCGTGCCCGCCCCGTCATTATTAGAGATCCCTCGTCCTCGGTCCATGCTCCGTGTAGCACGCACTTGTGTACCTCCTCCCCAACCCATAGGTATGTGGATTTCCCACAGATTCATTAGCATAAGGTGTGAGATTCACTGGCTGTCCTATTGAGGGCAGGCAGCGTGAGTATACGTCGAGGCGCGTAAAATTGTCATCCTAGAGTAGGCGACTAGCGTGACCCTCCAAGAGTAATTTGGAAAAATTTCCTAGGTTGAGCTGCCTTTCTTTCTTCTGTTTTCATTTGATCAATGTTTTTTTTTTTTTCCAAGTCAACCCCATTTGAGCTATCTAGAATGACAACATACGTAGATATATATTTCGCAAGTCAAAAGTCAACTTATCAGACCGGTCAAAGTGACCCAGAAGTCCGGTGTGGAAAGGCTCTCGCTCAACAGATCAAAGAAACGCCGGGAATAACCGGCTGATGACTCTCAAGAATTTCTACATGATTGTGAAAGGAAGAGGATGGGAGACAACTTTTATTAGTCGGTGCGTTTTGTAATATTTAATTTCTCCGTGAAATTCTAAATTTAAGCTATACAAGAGAGAGTTTTTAGATGAATCTTCCCAAATGGTAAAATGAAACGAAGTGAGAGAGTGCATCTCATTCACATGTAGTAATACAACCATGTATATTCGTATGTTCTATAGATGAATCCCTAACACTGAACGCCCCAAAAGCATTACCAAACAAAATTTGACAATTTGATTTCTAAAATACTGCTAATGAAGAAGTCAACATGATAATCATAAAAACCCAATTTCAACCATTCATTTATTTCATATTTTAAAGTTTTGAACCCTGCAATTTCAATGCCCTTTGCTCTTTCATCCGGAAATTCAACTACCCACAATTTTCACCAGTCCAACACTATCGGAGAATGTATAGTTATCAATTTTAAGTGTAGAACCTTAACGCATCGAGTACGTAGATTCCGACACGTTAGGCGACGGCGACAATATCCACCGTGCTAAAGATTGATCACATTGAAATCAATGGAAAACAAAAGATTCGGACGCCGAAAGAAGGTCGCGGATAGCTCCGGCTCCGATATCATGTTAAAGAATGATATCATGCGGAAAACGCTCCAATCATGCAACGCACTTGATCCGCCAGAAAAGATTGATCACATTGAACAAAACATGAAAAGATCTGTCACTGGTGCTTTTTTTGGTGAGATCAAGCCTAAACCCCAATACACAATCTCTTGAACTATGATCACATGAGTCTTCTCCTCCTACAATGGATCCACACACCCTATGTTTGCCTGCATTACTCAGTTCCAGAAATTCACTCGATCCTATTCCCACCAAGAAACGCACACGATGGTATCTGAAAACCAGGAACCACCACTCCGATCCCTCTCACCTACCCAAGTTCACTTTCACGTAGGACGCATGTTATTCTTCACTCTCGTCCCAAGAACTCGAAACCCAAATACAGACATGCAAGATGCAAAATACACAACTGAAGTGCCGCAAAACGCAACACGCTCCCCGTCTGCTCTCCCAGGCACGCAGTACGCATCGACCCTCGTCGATACACACGATCCACACGAAGAAGAATGACCCACGGATATCTTAGATGACTTTCACAGCGCAGAACGGACAGCCAAGCATCACGCATTTCGTTACTTTCTAGTCGAAGCCAAGCGTTTTCATAGCAATTTTATAGTTTCTTGATTTGGTCGGGTCGACGGGAAAACGACCAAGAACCCGACGAAGAACAGACAAAATCTAAAGACATGCATGCGGCAGACAATCCCAGAATCCAGACAGCCCGACGAGAAACCACAACAGCACGTCGTCCGAGGCTCTACCTCTATACATTGCATCCAACAGACACGCAACAGTTTGGATATCTAGCGGAAAAGAAAAAGCGTTCGAAAACAGCCAACCTCCGAACTTTCCGAATCTACCTGACACAAAAAAGTACGTACCTTTGTACAATGACTTGCATGTAGCAACGCTACGTTGCAGAGAGAGAGAGAGAAAGATCTAGAGAGAGAGAGAGAGAGGGGGAGGGAGGAGAGAGAAGGAGCGCCTTTGTGCTTTCGACTTGGCTTCGGGAGGGGACAGGAACTCACCACCTCTCGACGTCGGTTTTTCCCCGCTCTTCTCTGATCTCCTCTTTCCTCAAAACCTCCGCCCGCCGCCGCGGCCAATGAGGACCCGCCACGTGGTCCGAGCGGGGCCCCCTCACGTCTGGTGGATCCACCTTGCGAGCTGCGTAGGATTAACAATCCCCGGGATGTGGGCCCCGTCTGACTTCAAGATGCCCGCCACGTCGGCGTAGCTCGCGTGCTCCTCCTCGGCGGCGCCCCCGCTCGGCTCGGCTCCCGCCTGCTTCGCCCTCTTCGGCTCGGCCGGCTTCCCGGGGGGCGCCGGCGCCGCCGCCTCGAACCGCGCCGGGTCGAACCCCTGCCCGAGCAGCGTCCCCTTCGTCAGGAACTCGTGAGCCATGTAGCCGGCCAGGAGCCGGTTGTCGCCGCCGCCCTTCTCCGCGGCCGGCTTCGCCTTCCCGGCGGCTCGGGCCGGTGCCGGGGCCGGAGCCGGTCGGGGGGCGAGGAGCGGCCTCGGCGTCGTCGTCGTTTTGGCGACGGTGCCGCCGGGGGCAGCGCCGTAAAACGACTCCCTCTCCTTGCGCTTCCTCGACTCGCCAGGTGGCAAGATCCTACGGGGGTGGTAGCTCATCTCCCCCGCCCCGCGCGCACGCCACGTCGACGCGGGGGGCAACAACCGGGTGGGGGGGGCGAAATGGGTAATTTCCGGACGCCCGATATTTAGGGTAAAAGCGTCAAATCAGTCTAATCTGGAGAAGCCAGAAAACGTCCACAACGGGAGGGGGGTGGTTTTTTTTTTTTTCTTTCCTTCTTCTCTCTTTTAAAAAAAAAACGACACGAGGGAGGGGCCCCACCGATGGTGGCGCACGTTAAAACCCAAATAAATAAATAAAAAACAAAGAAAAGAAAAATTTTAAATTATTAATGATGATAATTAAAAAGAAAGGGGGAGAAAGAAAAGACGGGAATAAAGTCGAAGAAAAGAAATGGAGAAAAAGAGAGACTTAGGAATCGGGGGGGAGGCCAAAAACCTTCAAAGGACAAAAGAAAAAACGGATAAAATAAAAATAAATTTATAACAAATCGATTAAGGAGGAAGAGGGGCAGGACGACACGAGAGAGAGAGAGAGAGAGGGGGCCAAAAACTACAGGAAGTCGGATCCAGAAATCGGTGGCCGCCGCCGGTCGGGGGTGGGCGGCGGATCTCGGAGCTCGGACGGCGGTGGGTGGGGGGGGGGGGGCAGCGGCGCCGCCCCTGGGCTCAGACGAGAACGGGGGTGGGGGCGGACAGAGAAAGAGAGAGAGGGAGAGGGTGGGGGGGAAGGAAGGGAGGAGGAGAGAGAGAATGACAGGGGAGAGAGGGGAAGTGAGCGAGGCGTGGGCCAACATATATAGGATTTGTCCCTGCGGAATTGCCCCTCTTCGTCCCGATTATTTACGGCTGAATGCCACCGGAATGTGCAATGACGAGAATGCCCTCCCCCCGCTTCCGGAATTGCTCTCGGATGATGTGCCGGGGCAATTCATTTCCCTTCCCTTTTTTTTTCTTTTTCCTTTTTTAAGATTAACCGTCCGGAGGTCCGGGTCCCTTCAAACCTTGTCCCCTTTTGGGGGTTAATTCCAAAAAAAAGCACCAACTTTAGATCGAGGGACAATTCTGACCCGAGCTTTTTTTTGTTCCATAAAAAAGTACCAATTTTAGGTCGAAGGACAATTCTGGCGAACTTTTTTTTGTCCCATAAAAAAGCACCAACTTTAGGTCGAGGGACAATTCTGGCCCGAACTTTTTTTTGTCTCGTAAAAAAGCACCAACTTTCATTTAAATTCCAAATTTGGCCCCCCATTGACTTTCTGTCTGAAGTTACCCTTGTTTGAGAAAAAAAGTTATGGTGGTGAGCCTGGCGAATCTCTTCCATGGCGTCTGTCGACGGGCGGTGGTCTACAGCTTTAGATTACGACAAAACGACGAAGTTTGGCTAGAAAGATTCAATCTGGAGATATTTTTGACTTGCCGGTGAAGTGAAGGAGACGAACAGTTTCACCGTTATTCTTCAAGCTGTGGTTCAGAGAATAAGACAATGAATAATGCTTTAAATCCAGTCAGCAAGTCACGTGGATTTATTGCTAAGGTGGAATAATCTAGTTGGAAAATCAATTGTTTTAAGTCAATAAAGGCCAGATTTGGAATTTAAATGAAAGTTGATGCTTTTTTACGAGACAAAAAAAAGTTTGGGCCAGAATTGTCCCTCGACCTAAAGTTGGTACTTTTTTTACGGGACAAAAAAAAGTTCGGGCCATAATTGTCCATCGACCTAAAGTTGATGCTTTTTTATGGAACAAAAAAAAGTTCGGGCCAAAATTATCCCTTGACCTAAAATTGGTGCTTTTTTTTTTTTAATTAACCCCCCTTTTGGGAGAGTTCACAAGGTTTTTCTCACGCGAATTTCAGGGAATTTGTGATTTTTTTTTTACGAGGAAATTCACGGCGTGGCGTGTCAGCGAAGTTGGAAAAAGAAGAAGGATATAAGTTATCCCGAAAATAGAGGCGCGTGAGTGGTCACAAAATGTAAAACTTTTTAGGAATGTCCTTTATGTTGTTTCCTTTTGCTGAGTTACGCACCGGGGCTCGAAGTCGAGAGAAATGAAAGGATTGGGCTGCTCCCATCAATTCACTATCCGTGATGGTGTGTCCACATAGGCGATATATAATCCCCGTCACGCTCCGGCATTCCCGACTGTCACGTCAGCTGGATCTGAACAAGTTTTACTTCGAACGGGCTTTGATTAGATACGGTAAGGATCGGAAAAATTAAAAGTGTAGGGACTATATTGAAAAAAGCGGCGAAGATGTAGAGATGGAAAAGTAGAATTTGTCCCTTATTTTGATCCTTAACCCCAAAAATCTCATTCCATCGAAGTACCTTTCCCAAGCTTAGTTCTAAAATGTTTGGAGCACTCGTCCCTTGTTCCGGAGAACTCCAAGGGGAATTTCCAACTTCGTCATTTTGTGTCTTGAAGTTTAAGCCCAAGCAAGATCACTCTCATTGTGTAATAGTGTGCCCTAGCACTTTCAATTCAGAGGGCTTTTGTGTTATTTCATCAAACATCCTGTTTTTTTGTCTCCTCATTTCAAAATTTCCTATAAGGGTATGCTATGCACACATAATCGATGGGGAAAATTGTTCAATCGGTCCTAAATTTATTGTACGGATGTCAATTCAGTCCTAAACTTTTCAAATTTTCTAGCTTAGTCCCGAACTTCTGCCCAAAATTCCGATGTAGCCCTTCTGGGCGACGTGCCATATAGGTCGACCAGTAGTGATTGAACTGTCATGTCAGCGATTTTCCACGAAAATTGACTAGAAGGGCTATATCGGAATTTCGCGCAGAGGTTTGAGACTAAATTGGTAAAATTAAAAAAATTTAGGATCGAATTGATGCCTGCACGATAAGCTTAGGACTGATTAGGTAATTTTGCCCAAAATTGATCTTTTGCTTGCAAATTCTAGTGGAGGACAAGGATAAGAGTGGGATTAATGCAAACCCTTCTTTGGTAATGGACAGTTGGATCGTCATTACTTGAAATCCTGTGCATACATCTAATATGCATGCCTACATTTAAGAATTGAGACTTCTTCATTAATGTCAGGGATATGAAAGCAAGAAAACTAGCATGTACATTATTTTAAGAAAGTATGATGAGCTCAACCGATTAATCCAAAATTATAAGTTCGATTTTTCGAAGCAATACATAAGTAATCACATTTATAGGGACTAGTCGGAGGTCGTGTTACACTATAGAGAAAAAGAAATACCGACGTAATTCCACGAAAGAACTCCGAGGAAGTCCGTGATAGATATGCCTAAGCATGACGATGCGCATGTTTGGAATCTCGTTTCGTATTGATTGTTTGTGGACTGTGGTGATTTGGTTATGTGAAGATTTCCTTACCAGACGAAAGATTTCGTGTCAACTCATTAAATGCTCTCGATTTAATCGACGTGTGCTAATGCGAGATCCACCAATTTATGAGAAAAATGTACATACCAATTCATGTAAAAGTCCTCTTTAGTGAAGACATCTAAAATAGGGAAAAAAAAGTAGGAAAAATAACATAAATGATCCATAAATGTTGGTCTAATGTATAATGTAGTCCATGAACTATTAATTTGTTCAATATGGTTCTTAAATTTTGACCCGATTTGAAATATAGTCTCCGAACTTTCGATTTCTTAAATGTAATCTATGGAATTTTGGACTAAGCTATATAGAAATATTCAATATTGTCCCAGGATTTGAATTAATAGAAAAATAATATTGAACATTTCCATATAATCAAAGAACCAAGTTGAACATGTCCTAAAAATGCAAGGACCACATCGAATAAATTGAAAGTTCATGGACCACATTACACGTTGGGTTAAAGTTCATGAACCACATTAAATAAATCAATAATTCATAAACTATATTACATAAAAGGCTAAAATCCAGAAATTATTTGTATCATTATCCAAAAAAAAAAAAGAGAGTAAAGAACATGAATTAAAATAATAATCGTTTTTCGTCCTTAGCGGACCCGACCGTGGATCCTGGATCTCTCCACTGATTTAGACCTTCGAAAGAGTACTCGTAACGTTTTGTGAAGTACGAAGTATAATTCCATCACTCAACCAATCTCTTTAATTCTTTCTTTTTTTTCTTTTTAATCCTTGACCACAATCTCGTTTTATCAAGTATTTTTCCAAAGCTTAGTTTAACATGTTTATTTGATCACTCGTCCCTTATTATGGAGATGGGTCGGAATAAGATAGCATAAAGTGAAATTAAAAAAATCTTTCAAATTATGATGATCCCATCATGTGTTTGATGTACCCACGATAGAAGTAACAAAATTAAATTAAAATTATTGAAAAAGGCCAGAAAAGACACGAAGAAAATATCATAATTTGTTTCAATATGGCCACCTCCGGGACCATCACCGTAACTGCAATAGGTACCATTGGAGGCGGCGATGACCATTGTGGTAGTCGCCTCTTTTCGGTGATCACAACAGTAGTGGTTGTCTTAGTTGTGGGGGCAAGAATCTCCCCAAGTGATTTCGGGAGATCGACGATGACTGCTGTGGTGATTGCCTATGGGGTGCGACCACCGTAGGCACTTAAGGTTGGTGATTACCTGCGGTGGTTGCAAGTTTCAGATCTAAATCAGAGAGACTTAAGAAAGTTTCTTAATGCAGGTGACCATCGTCGCGACCATTGAGCGGGGGTCACCCGATAGTGGCGACCACCAAGCGGTAGTCCCTAGCGATGCCACCATCAACGTCCTTGGTGGTGCATGGCGATCATGCGCAATGAGGCGCCCTTCTTTATCTTGTTGTTATTCGAAAATATATCGAACCTCTAAGTGAGAGTTTTTTTATCCCGATTATGGTCGAATAGTTTCGGATTTCGTATTACACCGAACGTTGGATAAGATATCCACAATTATATTCGATCCACCAAACACAACTTAAAAAGGGATTTTCGACGTCGTCATATTGTATCTTGACATTTGAGCCCAATCGAGAAAAACTTTAATGTATCTTGATAAAATCTATACTAGTGATCATGAGATTATAACGTTGAAAGAGATTGAGTGTGCAATTGACCAATGACCATATTTTTGCA